TGAACTTGGCACAAAATTCTTTGGGTAAAGTGTGGTCAATAAATCTAACTTGTGACCACAAGGAGTTTTTTTTAAGCAATAGCAGTGCTAGACTAGGGCTAGACTACCACAGGGTGGAAAGAATTAGAATGTTATGCTTATGGGTTCAGACAAAGTAAACTAGGAAGAGGCCACAAAATCCATCTATTAAGCAAGTGGGCCTCAGATCAGTTATATTTTCAATGCTTGAAGAAACTGAACAAATTGAAAAGTACTTGGAAAGTTTCAAGTATATCAGAAGCATGCAGGATTTCAAGACAATATTTCAGTAAAACATGTCTGGGGTGCAACATCTGCACACTCTGGATGTATTAAGATCTTGTGGCACAGTGGCAGCATCCCTACCTCTAGGCCAGAAGATCTGAGTTCAAGTCCTAACTGCTCTGGAGGTGTGTCATAACACATCTGAGCAGGTTGATTAAAATAACTAAACTAAATGCACAAGATGTGAGACACGCAGATACAGTACAACTGTACTAGAATATGACATTTCTTTTCTGTTGCGATTTCCAACATGATACCTCAGGCTTGTCTCAAATCTCATTTCAACAAGTCAGAATTAAACACAACAATGGTAGTTGCAAATTGGAATGATAACCCATTAATTTCAAAAGAACTTCTCATTACAAGAAAATGGAAGTCAGCAACTGCAATACAAGGTGATTAAAGAATGTTTGCAACACTGAGGCACAAAAATGAAAGATTGAGAAACAATAGTGCACGTAAAAAATACTGAAGGCCTCTGCCAGCAGGTTGGATTTGAAGTTCATTCTTCCCACAGCCATCAGCTTCTGGTCAATACAGTTAGAACTCCCAAAGTTCAGCACTTGACGAGGATGCACATTGAACAAATCTCCCTGCCTGCAATGTTTCATGGGGCTGCTGGAAAGAGGCGCATGACCTGGACATTCACAGAGTATATTAATACTCTCTGTTTATATCCCTGGCCTCTGGTGGAAAGTTACTGAATTCAAGTCCCCAAGATAACCAACGACTTGCTTTTAGTAAAGAATAACTTGTTCAGCATTTGGGGGAAATTTTTTTTAAAAATTCCATATTCAAGACCTTGGTTTCATTAGGCTACATTGTGACAAAGGACAAGCTTTCGGAGCCTCAGTCCAAAGCCTGTGTTTTCAAATAAACCTGTTGGACAATAACCTGGTGTTGTGCGATTTCTGACTTTGTCCACCCCGGCCCCTCCACATTGTGGCAAAGGAAGCAGTGCACAATACCGAACTTTCAAGTAGACTCAATTTGTTGTTAACTACTTTTGAATACTTTATACCAGTTGCTTAGAATTTAGACGGAACGCGAAAACAACAATGGGTCATATATGTACACCAACAAATATTATACAAATCCAAAAGTAAGGATAATAGTCATGTTCCAGGAACCAGAAAAAAAGTTCGATTCACTCTCTCGGAGGTCTTTCTCAAATCTAAACGGGGGGCTGTGTGCCGTCCACTTTGTAACAGTTACCCCGAACAAGCCGGAACTGGGAGGCTAGTAGTTTTGCCGGGTGAGAAGCAAGCACTGAAAGGTTATCCTATCAATTCCATCCCTTCGACAATTTCTTCTTTTGACTCAATTAGATACGTACAAACGCATATGGGAGATTTTGCAACACTTTCCTTTTATCCCTACACTCCCCACCCCACCAAAAACAACTAAATACATTGCCATATTCATCCTTCCTTTTTGGCATGATGTCTTCCAGTAGTTAGTCGATTTATGGCTCTCGACAGCAAATCTGGGCAACCTCCCTTCCGACTAAAAGACACCCCTTCTCCAATTCTTATTAAACCCAAAACACAATTAGTCCCAAAAAGTAGAGCTGCCACAGGAAAAATTAAATACCCCATCATTATCAATGCTTTTTAAACCATTTTGGATGCAATTGGATCACAACACAATTAGATCATTTACATCAGACTCATCTGACAAACTTGCGCTGTTTAATGCATTAATGCTGCGGAAGTAGGTGGCGTCCACCGGCCGGCTCTTCACCGGGGTGGTGGGGGGGGGGGGTTTAGCCGCTTTCTCACTTACCGACTCCATTGCTCCACTGATCGCTGTCTCAGCTTTCCTTCAGCCGCTTTCTTCCCCACGCCGGACTTTCACCTCCGCTCCCCCATCCACACAACACCGCTTCCGTTCCGCGCCTGCTCACCAACAAGTCGACGAATGCAAGATGGGCCGCTGTCGCAGCTTTGCACACCAGCCCGCTGGCGCCGCCTGCAGGCTCCGACAGGCACGCCGAAAGAGACAAGAGAAGCAAGCAGAGATAGTAGGAACTGCAGATGCTGGAGAATCCGAGACAACAAGGTGCAGGGCTGGATGAACACAGCAGGCCCT